GTAGGCTTGAATCTGATGAGTATGAATTCCACTTTAAAAGGACACGCTATCAAAATATAAAAAGACCTGTTTATGAAACTTCTTACCCTCCGGATGGAAATAAAGAAAATTCTAAATTAGAAATAGATAAAAAAGAAAAATCTCTCTTCTGGTTTGAAAAACCTCTTGTGACTATTCTTTTCGACTATAAACCATCGAATCGTCCATTTCGATATATAAAAAATGATAAATTTGAAAAAGCTGTTAGAAATGAAATATCACAATATTTTTTTTATATATGTAAAAATGACGGAAAAGAGAGAATAGTTTTTACGCAGCCGCCTAGTGTATCAACTTTTTTTGAAATGATAAAAAAAAAGTCGCAAGAAAATATTCGGAATCTGCACATTTTTCCAAACTTCAAACATAGGGTTAATGGAAGGAAGTTGAGCGTAATGAAATAATTAAAACCAACTAACTCAAGGCATTCGCTTTGACCTTTCCAGTTCCTCTTTCTAAAGGTGTATTTGAGAGTAATGATAGAATGAGTGATTTAAAAAAAAAGATTTAAGAATAATTGATTTTTCAAAATCACCAATGATGCCTTAAAAATTAATTTAAAATGATTTTATGTTTTCCTAAAATCAATAATTTTAATTATTTGTCAAACATGATCAATAGAAACGGAAGTAATTTTTACAATGGCAAAAGTGATTTTGTCATGCCAAAATCACTCCCGAACAAATTCTAAGTCTCCAAACTTGAGCGGATTCCCGTCTCAACTTTTAAAATACTTTTATCATATATTAAATAATTTATTTAATTTAATAAATTAGTCATTTGGTTTGGTAACATGAGCGCTCCATGGTCATGCCCGTCAAAGACCTATTGTTTGTGGCCGCATGTCAATAACAACCTCTTCCCATATACTTTTATGCTTTGTATTTAATTTTGCATATTGTTGTTTACTTTTTCTTGTATTTTTTGTGGCGAGTGACACCTCGCCACTTTGCATATTCATGCCAGTCAGAGGCAAGATGGTCCAAAATGTACTATATGGATACACCTAGTCACCTTTCTACCTTGTGTTGTATTTTTTTCTTGCCGCTAATTTATTTTCTTGCACTCAAGCTATACAAAAAGCTTTCCAAAATGCTTTCAAATGTTTTTCAAAACCTTTTTCTCTAACCCCGATTCCAAAACAATTTTCACGAAAGCGGGATGGAGGTTGCGACACATAGCCATTATACCACTGGCTATCCGATTTCTAGTAGGTTGACTTGCTTGTGGGCTGAAGCAAGTGCCACACAATCGCTTTGTGAATCCCGATAAAGTGCGATTGTGACAGCCGTCTCGCCTATCTCGCTGGAGTTCAAATATTCCTACATATATGTTATTAATTATATATTACAAAAGGCATATTTCGTCTAAAAATTACATCCATGGATTATATAAATACAAGTTAAAATACTATTTTGGTTTCTGGACTTTAAGTTTCGTTTCATTATGGTCTTTGTATTTTCGAAAGGTTTACTTTGGGTCCCTGTACTTTTATCCTTGTTTATTTTAGTTAATGTACTTTTAAAATATTCGTTTTGGTCTATGTACATTTAAAAAGTGACCATTTTGTTCCATATTTTCAAAAGTTTTAACACGAATTCTATACTTAAAGAAACTCCTTAATATAAAGTCATTGTTACATTTCAAAAAGTATATTGAATATAGTGTTGTGTTGACATTGTCATAGAAAAAATGAGATTAAAAATAAAGTTAATAAGAAAAAATTGTCAGTTTTAAAAAATATAGGGATCAAAACAAACATTTTGAAAGTATATAGACTAAAATAAAGCAATTAAAATTGAAAGTAAAGGGATTAAAGTGAAAAAAAAAACTTAAATTACACAAACAAAAGTGTAGTTTAACCTATAATATATATGTATATAATATTCATTTAAAAGTATCTCATTCTTATATTTTGTAAATTTACATGGTAAGCGATATTTTCTTCAAAGAATTATATCCATAAAGTATCTATGCCAAAGAAATGATAATAAATAGTACTAAAAAGAAGTAATAATAAATATGAAGTATTATAATTTTTTATTTTCTTGTCCGTGTGTGTCTCTCTCTCTATATGTATAAATATTTATTTATTTATTTATTTTTATTGAGTAAGCCTA